AGAATTTTGGAAAAAAAGATGTGAATGTTTTTCGACTAGTGCTTCTTAAAAGTACTGAACGCATGCAGTAGGACAAGAAATAACGAATCATCGAGGAAAATTCTTGAGATATGTAGGTTTTTACACTTCAGTAGCCATAACTTTCCTCAACTGCATCAAATCGAAGAACGATTTGGGCGATCCGCTCCGGATCCGGAATGAAATCCGCTTTTTATGATTATCAAAACTTCTTGGTAATTCAGTTCTATCAAAATTAGCCCCTTTGTTGTTTGCTAGAGTACCGTGGAGAGATAGTTCTTCGTCGCGTTGTTACATTTTCAGCGACTACAGTTTCTTTCTGACAATTAGGCATCTAGGCCCCTCCATGGTTTAACCTGCTCCGCTCTTGAGCAGCCAAACCGTCGAGCACCCTGCCTTAGGCTGATGTCAGACTTTGCGAATCCACTGATTCACTAGCGAATTGTGGGATACGAGCGTTGCACCAGCGAATCGAGCTGTGTACCAGCGGATCGAACGATGTACCAGCGACTCGACACTGTTTGAAAGTGGCGGGACTTCCTTTGAACGTTGGCTCTCGCCACTTTCCCGGGCTCACGAGGGCATGAGAGAGTGAGAGGGTATGAGAGCTCGGGAAAGTGGCGAGAGTCAACATGCAAACAAGAGGGATTCCCTCCACTACTATGCAGTGTGAGTCGCTGGTACATCGTTCGATCCGCTGATACACAGCTGGATTCGCTGGTGCAACCCTCGTATCCCTCGATTCGCAAGATTCGCAAAGTCTGACGTTGGCCTTAGGAAGAACGCCTCTAATCTCAATTTCGAAAGATATCTAAGCGCTGAAATTGCAAACTCACTATTGATTAATCTGCAGTGAAACACGTACACGTCATCGTTTCTTGACTCGAGAACTCTTGCTGAAATATAATTCTGACTGAAGTGAGGGATGCCTCCTGTGGGGGTTTCATGACTGGGTACATTTCGACATTTTCTATCGCTCGATAGGATTCTATCGCAGAATAAGGAAAGGCAAGTACTGTGGTAAACTTTCATTCAGAGAGCCATTTAGAGGACCTATGACCCAACGGTTAGGAAATACTGGACACGACCACAGACGAAGGCGGGAGGAATATAAAGGTGGAATGCAGACATCGTTCATAATGCCAGTTGAAGGCAAAGGCCAGGATCATTTTTGTGTGATAATCCCAGTGGAGTACGAAAGTAATGCGAAGTGGACAATATGGAGGAAGAAGCAGGAAATATCGCCAAAAACAAAAAAATGCGAACCCTCTCAACGCTGCGGGCAAGGCCAATGGTAAGAGGCAGACGTCGATTAATCAGCTGACTTGAGTCGTGGAGAGGGTGAAGGAACTTCGGATCGAGAGAGTACAGCTGATTAACCGATAAGACACAGGGAAGATTCCATGGTGGCGGGTACGGTTCGACCAAGCGTCGGTAGATGAAAGTGTGCTAAGAGGAGGCTACGACCTTTGCAGCTGTGGACCTAGCACCTCGAGGAATCTTCTTAGTAAGGCTAGACGGGAGTTTTGCCTGAAAGAAGCAGTGGGTACCTAACAGGAGGCTCGCCGCGCGGCAAGAAGGCAGAGTCGACGGACGAGTCACAGGGCGTACTGTGCGCGGTAGCACGAATGTGTACATTCTGTGTGACCTTAAATCACTTAAGCTACGCGCTGAAACTCATGACGCGACTCTGCCTTCTCCGGCGGCGACGCACCTCGTCGGTCCCAAGCAGGAGTGTAGTTTCAAGAGCACTCTCACGCTTGCACATTCCTCAGGGTATAGAAATGCAACTTTTCGAATATGTCATGTCGCCCTTCGCGCAAAGCTTTTCATAGAGTAGATGTCGTGGAAATGGAATACACCTTTCAGAAACGCTTCTGTAACACCACCAACACTATCACGTAAACGATCGCCTGTGATATTTCAGGGCGCCTATCACCGTAGTTGTACTCAGAGTCAACCGTGCGTTGCGCAGCTCTAAGCGGCACGTGAGATCCTCAACGCACGCTGTATGGGCGGAGACACAGACGGCTGCGAGTGTGAATGTTCGCGCGAGAGAACGTGTCTAATCGGGCGAAACTGCGCAACGTGGCCGTTGAGAACTGCGCAACGCTTCCAAACCCCCCCCCCCCCACAAAAAAAAAAAACACAACATGGAACACAACGTACATCTATCTTCCTTGAAGCTTATTCTTTTTCTCTGAGCCGTCTTCTTGTGTTGTCATGAGGGATGTCTCCTCGCTCTTCAATTACACTTGCTACTATATATGAGAGCTTGACCAGTTTTTGAAAATTCATCCTCTAAAGAAGGATGACTCACAGCCGATTTCTGCTTCTTTCGTTTCTTGGAGGTGATTCCGATCCAGTCGAGTGGCTTGTTGAAGTCTACCCTGGCTTCTTTGGCTATAGCTGCTAGAGAATTCCGCAGGTATCTGCAAAACTGCGTTGTAAAAGGCTTCGGCCTGTTGACCTCGATGGTATGATTTGAAGAATCGAACAAATGAGTATGAGTAGCACTGACACGTAATCTGGTTCATCAGCGTACTTCAGCCCATCGATATACTGAACAATTCGCTTGAAATCTTCTGGAACTATCGAGTAGCAGGAACTTACTGCAAGCTCATACATTGCCAAGACCGTACCGCTTCCGAAATTCCAGATTCAATTATTCTTACGCACTTTCAAGTTTGAAAAACTTCTGCTTCATGGTCAGGATCTCATCACGCTCGCACCTCTTCCATGGCAAACCCTTGTCGTCGTCAAATAAGTCGAAGCACTGAAAGTTGCTTGTAAAATGGTCGCCGTGTAAAGGATAGCAAGACGGTCAACATCGATAAATCACTACACACTGTGAACTGATTTTATATGAAGCGAAGATGAGTACCGCATCCTCCCTTTCAAAAAACGAGAAGAGTGTCGGGTGCAGACCATACACCACAAGTGACGACGGCCTCCAAGTAAATCTGGTTAGTAGTGGTTCATAGTGATAGCTGATTTTTGAATGATAGTTGTAATTAGTGACAACTGATAGAATACAACTGCAACAGGCTAATCATTTCATTGGCAGAAAACATTTACATTTTGTGGAGGCCGTCGTCACTTGTGGTGTATGGTCTGCACCCGACGCTCTTCTCGTTTTTTAAAGGGAGCGTGAAAGGACCAAGCATTTTGCTTTGATCAATCGAATTTTGGTATGCGCGTTCAATTCGGTATGGTAGAGTCATATAATGCGGCCGATACGAGTCATTGTTTTTCTCATTTCAGGGTTTCCTACAGTCGGCCCTGTTCAGGGTAGAATGCATTGAGCTCTGGGTGGAATTTGGCATAGTTTGAACCTGAATAATGAAGCCATGTGCCTACCCACCGTGCCCTCTACACAACCACCGCCACTGCATGATTTTCGACTTTAAAGGGACGACTTGAGGTCGATGATGTGTTGTTTTGTTCGGAAAATATGCAAGGAGCAAAATGAGGAACATTAGGGGAGAAAAGCAAAAAGCACCATAGAAAACACTAAATTTCCCTTTGGAGGCCGGCCGTGGTATGACGGAGAGACACAGCGCTGCGAGGAGAGGGAAAACGCGAGATAGTAGGTCGTTTGTCAGCACTACAGCACACATGGCACCGTCGCCTCGCACTTTTGAATGTTGCACCTACTGCGCTTGGAGACCCCCCTTCTTACTGTAGGGGGACTGGCTCAGGTTGTCTATGTAGTGCCATGGCGTGAGGTACCTTAAAGTAACTGTCGCTACCGTTACATAGTTGATAACACGCTGGACCTCATCTTTGTCAGAGTGAACAAGGTCCCCGCTAACAAGGGAGGTCGTTCAGGGTGTGCCAAGCTTTTTCAAAACGGTCTTTTGCATGATATAGGGGCACATGCGGGAACCACAGAACCATGGTTAATTTTTCCTGAACGGCCCTCTGAATACCAGAAAAGGGGGTCCCTAGTCACACCTTTTTCACCAGTTTTTCAATCAAAGTCTATTTGTAAGGGTTACTGACGGTCCTAATCATGAATATGGTACTAATTATTCATGCTAACTCCATTTTGCGCGAATTTTGAAACGTCAACTCGAAATGCAAAAATTTGTCACCACGAGGAATCGAACTAGGGACCCCTTTTCTGGTATTCAGAGGGCCGTTCAGGAAAAATGAACCATGCTTCTGTGGTCCCCATATGTGCCCCAATGTCATGCATTTTGAAAAAGCTTGGCACACCCTGAAGGACCTCAATTTGTAAGAAGCAAGGAACTCGCAAGGTCTATTAGCCCAGCCTTCTACATTAACACCTTTAGGCAGTACACCCAGGGATTCTCTGCGACACCATTTTCTACTTAAGACAACATTGACGACAATGCGAGTTTTGGCTTTTTTGGACAGGCCAGAGTCAACCCTGCGTTGCGCAGTTCGCAACGGCACGTTGAGAGATCCTCAACGCACGCTGTATGGGCGGAGACACAGACGGCTCGAGCATGCGAGTGTGAATGTTCGCGCGAGAGAACGTGTCTAATCGGGCGAAACTGCGCAACGTGGCCGTTGAGAAAGCGTAATCGCTTCCGTATAACGCGAGTTTAACTTCTTGCACGTGGGACCGCGGCGATTTTGCGGGCGCGCTCGCCTCAGGTCGTTCAAGCAGATTTTGAGTGATAAATACACAACTAATGACCAATTCAAAACCAAATTAGTAAATTGTAATGAGCGCAACCTACCCAGGGGTACAGTAGTGGAATTTTGATCAAAAGACATGGAATAACAATGAAAAAGCGAAATTTTTCAGAACTAGCTGCAATGGACCTTAAAAGTAATTTTACGTTGATTATTCCAATCAAAACACACATGTTGTCATCCCTAAAGTTCCTTATTTACTTTATACTACTTTTTTACGTAGGGGCCACTATGTTTGTAGCTACGTCAAGGTCTCTTCCATGGAATGAATACAAGAAACTTCTAAAAGAATCAGGCGTGCGCGAAAAAATGAGTGTAATGGGTGCGGGGGATATATATCCCGCACGGTCCGACATGGCCTGCAATGCGCGGGATATATATCCCCCGCGTTGTCGTCAATGTGTTAAGCAGATCAACGTATTTCCTAAAGGCATTAATTGAAACGGTATTTCATATATCAATTTTTCATATAATTCTCAGCTGTACACAATATTTTCTCATTTGAGAAACTTGAATTAACATTTGCGCCTTAGATATCATAAACTTCTAAACTACCATATACAGCCAGCATTCCAAATCGTCTTTGCGTCCTTGCTCAATCTGCTTATGACATGCTCGCGATGCAAATCTCAGAGTTCCGAGGAAATGCACTTTGATCCGTGGTAACCTGAGTAAGTTGGAAGTTTTCGGACCACGCAATCCAAGGCCAGTGATGCATATGTCGTGAATAACTCACTCACTTTCATTCGTTCCTCTTTCAGTAGAATTTCCTTGGCAATACCAAAATCGAGCATATATATTGTTGACTCCTTTGGACCAAGTCCAATAGCATAGTTTTGAGGTTTTATATCGCTGAAATCCAGCAGCATGTCATTAAGCCATGTTCCCTTCCTATTGATCATTCCAAATAGTAAAGTAAGCAGATGGGTCGTAAAAGTAGTCTCATGGCCAGGGTGAATAACGGTCGAGGAAATCCTCGACCATAGCTCTCTACCATGCGAGAGTAGTGCCGAGAGTGAACATCCGCGCGGAGAGCACAGACGGCACGGCATGGCGAGTGTGAATGTCCGCGCGAGAGATCGTCTCTGATCGGGCAGAGAATCCTCGACGTGCCGTTGAGGAATCCTCAAGCGATATTCACCCTGCTGGCTCAATTAATAGATTTGAGCCCACTCATACAACGGCTCTACAACGGACGCGTGGTAGTAGCCACTGCAGCAGTGAAAAAGTTCGCCAAAACGTTCTTGGTGCTCCTCTTTTTCCGATAGAAAAAAAATTAAGGGGGCCTCGAAAAATTTTCTTTTAAATATCCTGATTTCCTTAAGATTGAGGATATATAAATACTAAAAAATAGTATATCAATATTGAAGAGCGTTGCTCGAGCGAGAAAAAATAATGCACTAAAAACTCAAACAATGACCGCGATTGCATGACCGTACAATGGTTTTCCACTGATTGTGCAGGAGTGCAAAATTTTTTACAGGTTGGACACAGGGCATGCATATGCACGGTCACTTTACGATCTCTCGACCACTTGACTAGCGGTGAGGGCAGACCTGACCATGCGAGGCGGTAAAAAAAACCCCTTACCCACCTGCCGCTCGCCATAAAACATATAGCTGGATTATCCAGCCGCTAACAGGTAGCGCTCATTGTGTTATCAGGGCGCTCAAACGGAAAGGAAAGATGTGGCAGATACACAATTAGTATAACATTATAGTAGTTGTGATGATGGTATAAAACACAATTGGAGCAAATTTTCAATGGAGTTCTGTTCTTAGAAGGACTCATTGTTGCGAATTGCAGAACAAGAGTATCACATCTGTTGAGCCTTTTCCCAGCAAACAAGTTGATAATCGGGTTTTCAGAATGAAAATAATTTTTATAATCTGCAGAAGTTTGGAGCCTTTCGACACTCTGGCGTGGGCACTAGGGATCTTCGCGTCAACTAAATGTGAAATTCGTGGATAGTCGACAGGAAGTCCATCACGAAGCGAGAATGCAGAGGGGCAGGTGGATCAGCGGATGGGTATTGAATGATGTGGGACGTGTTATGATACATTCTTTCTAACTTGAGGCTAATTTTCTACAATACCCGCCGCCACTAGTCCACTGACAGTCCGCTAACCCTAACAGTCTCTGTCTTCTCGCCTCGCTATGGCCTTTTTGTAGAGTAGCCGAAATTCGTAGCATACAGGCCAAACCACTTCTGCACGTGGAATTCTAGCCAAATTTAATTAGGAAAACAGATTTCAAGGAAAATAGTGCCGCGAGCATTTTAATCTGCCTATATTATTATAATTAATTGGATGGACTGCATGAAATCATTCCGGAGACATAGGGGTATGACCAAAAGCTTTCATTTGAACTGACTACTGAAGCATCCATACCGATGTAAATATCCGATGCCGTGTAGATCGCGGACGGCCGTCATGGTCTGTATACAGCACTGCATAGCTGTTGCTTTCGAGTAGTTTCTTACCAAGTCCTTCTTTCGTATGTCCTCCAGTGAAGGTCCCACCAAACCCATCACCAGGAACTGAAATTAGTCACTTAATAGCACAACAGTCAACGCAGCTGTTAAAAGCGAAGAACTTACTTTAAACTTCATCGTTTTTCCTCGGTCGACAAATGCGACAAAATGGCCTTTCCTATCGGGATCCGATTGCTCATGACATTTCATCAGCACCACCACTTCAATTTTCAACCTCAACATTTGTCGATTGCCGATCACCATTTCGGTTTTCATAGCTGATTCCTACAAGGGCGATTGGAAAAGGATCCACCTACGGCTCTTGCTCAAAAGCTCAGAATTACCGTTTTGTCTGGATTGTTCACTTTTTGAACTTTATAGACGTCACCAAAGCCTCCTGATCCGAGCAGTTTTATCACACGCCATCTGAAATTCAAAGAATTCGTCCACGGAAAAAAGCTTTGAATCTATCTCACCCATGAATCACTGGCTTGGAACCAATGATTCACGAAAAAAACGAACAGAAAAAAATAACGCTGCTACCAGTTACACCACCGGGGCACCATTTCACCCAACTCAGCTTTGATGACAAAGTACCATAGCTAACCGCAAGGCTGAAAGCTGTATTAGGTGATATTTGGCCATTTTTGACTTGTTTTATTGGATAACTGCTGTTCACGCCACAGTTCGCGTTGCGACAGTTGCGTAGGGGTGAAATGGTGCCCTAGTGGTGTAACTGGTAGCAAAATCGGCCCGGAACGCAGGTAATCCGGGCCGGCCTGAGTCACAGCTGGCCACAACTCAGCATTCTTGTGACAGCGTCGTAATAGTCTTCCAAACTGAGGAAGTCATAAGTATTTGCTAAGGGAGCGCAGTGCACGGTTCGAGCTCAACGTGCTCCTCGACGGATCGTGGGCCTACAACCTTGTCTGAAACGCTAGTCGTAGGGGGGGGGGGCTGGCATAGCGAGAGCGAGCTAATTTCCATAGGAGGCCATCCGTCAGATAACCGTTTGAAGAACGCTGCTATGTAGCTGCTCTAAGCTGTACCAATTTGTGTGCACTTCCTTGAGCGACGGCGATTGCAGGTGACGTCATATTACGAAGAAAGGGAGGGGCAGCGAACAGAGGCCTGTGGCTACTTATGGAGGAACATTTCAGCAATATGTTTTCAAAAGACTTCCATCAACCACGACAGCCTGCGCGAGTTAGAGATTGCTGATGTGCATGGGCCAAGTGCACATCAGCAAGTCTGTCAGTCTCCCAGTCTGCCACACCTGCACGTCGGTCAGTTTATGCTTCTGCAAAATGAAGTGAGTGATAAGGCAAGCTAATGGAATAAACAGGCCGCTAACAAATCTGGGTAGCTCGCAGGGCTTGCCCTATCAATGTTTTGCAATGGCATGATTGTGATAACACCCCAACGGCTATATAAACACCTACTTAGCACACTTCCGGTCATTCCACAAGGTGCTGCAGTGGCAGCTGGAGAGCAGTGGAGGGGGAGGGGAGGATAAGGACAGGAGGAGGAACGCAAAGCTCACGCAGGGAAGGGAGGCTCCGGCGGTTGTCGGGGGACAAATGTGGTGTCCCAAGTATAAATACTTTTTTGCACATGCGCATACCCTGGCGGGGTGCCTACCTCACAAGTGGAACTGAGCACTGCGGAAGGCATGAAGTATAACCTAAAAGCACGGGTAGGAATCAAATTGGGTTGCTATTTTATTCGAAAATCCGATGAAACTGCAGGAGGTAAAGCAAAAAGTGCCGCAAAAAAATATCGAAATGGCAACACTTAAAGGCAAAGGTCGGGCTCAGGCACGCTAGAGAAGTAATTCCCGTGCCTGGAGGTTGTATGTGGGTAGCTGCACACATTGCAGCAACTTCCACCTTGAAAAACGTCGTTAAGCCCCCGGGGCGTCGGTTTCAATCCAGGGCCGCCTGGTCAATCCAGGACCGCCCACCTCCGGAAGTGGTGCGTGGCTGGCATAACGTGTGAAATCAGCTAGGTTGATTGCCGTATCAACCGATAGAACGACTGACATCTCCAGAAACTTCCCTACTATATATAATGCGCTATGTCTGTCTGTCCGTCTGTCACGAAATTCGGTATCAAGCGAACAACAACCTACAGGGTCCAGGTCAAGTTTGGGATGGGTATACCATATCCCTAGAAGTAAAAAACACACATCAGCCAAGCGGAGCCCCGCCCACAGTGGGCGTGGCGTGCATCGGTTGATTCCAAATACAGTCAAAAACAGCCTCGAGACTGGAACAAAAAGTGGTTATAAATGTGCGTTGGTAAGCCAGATTGATTGGGAGACCCACCCTCGGTGGGCGGGGCGTTCTCTAGAAAAGCGGTGCTCAATGAAAATATTCATAACTCGGTTAGGAGGAAGCCTACAGAGCAGAAAAGAAATTAGTGCAGGGAGCAATGTCTAAGGTATTTCCAGCACACATGATGTGAACGGAGGTCCGCCCACAATGGGCGGAGCGTGTCCTGAAGTAGACGACGTTTTCTACAAGAGCTCATAAATCGGCTCCGAGATGACTTAGAAACCTGGAAAACAGTGGATAGAGGTTAGGAGAAGAGGAGAAGCTAAATGTCAAGGCTGGGCGTAGCTTACACCAAAGTGGGCGGAGTTTGCAACCAGCCTCATAACTCGGTTCCTATGAGTCCCGGGGTGTGGGGAAAAGCGTATAAGTGTTGGCAGAGGGAAGGGGGTCAAGTGCTGTGGGCAGGTGGAGCATGCATTAAAGTGGGCGGAGTTTGCCACGGTACTTCATAACTCGGATCCAATAAGTTCCGGAGATGGGAAAATAGTAGAATGAGGTTGGGGAAGAGATGATAGTCATTTGGTATCGGTGAGCGAGGCATGTAACGAAGTGGGCGGGGTTTACCACAACGATACGTTGCTCGATTTCGTCCCCTACAAGACCTCATAATTCGGCTCCGAGATGACTTAGAGACCTGAAAAAAAATACGCCAGAGGTGAAAGTAGGAGTAGAGGTTGAATGTGAACGCTGGGCGTGGCACACCCGGATGTGGGCGGAGTTTGCCACCGCTCTCATAACTCGGTTCCTAGAAGTTCCGGCGACCGGGGAAAATGTGCATAAGTATTGAGGTATGGAGTAGGGTTGAATGCCATTGTTGGGCTAACCATGCACCAAAGTGGGCGGGGTCTGCCTCAGAAATTCGTGACTCATAACGCCATTTACAAGACCTCATAATTCGGCTCCGAGATGACTTAGAGACCTGAAAAAAATACGCCAGAGGTGAAAGTAGGAGTAGAGGTTGAATGTGAACGCTGGGCGTCACAATGTACCGAGCAGAAAGCTAAAATCAAGACAAAAATACTGATGGGCCCGATTTTACCGCTGCAACCCCGTCTCATGCACGCGATTGTGCGTGCGCAGCCAAACTGGTTGTTTGTACGTGCCTCTTTCCCCAAGCCAGCCTCCTTCACTGCTAGTGGGAAAGAGGGTTTTGTTAACGGCCTTGTCGACGGTTTTTCTCAGTTTTTTCTCCACTGTCGTTCCACTTCGCATCTCTATACTCAGTTTCAATCGCCATAATACCCCCTTATTGAGCCCGACTTTTGCCTTTTATGGCAAGGCATTAGCGCCGTTGCCTAGCACTTTTGAGTCGCAACAGTGTCGCGCCTCCTGCGCTCGGTAACCCCTTTTGCTTGATCTGAGAGGGACTTTACTTCTTGGTACTCAATCCCGAACGCTGCTGGCGTTGAGGGAGGATCGGCGGTTTGCTTGGGAGGGACAAATCTGGCTGAAAAAAACGAGGCGACATTTAGAAACGCTTGTATGCAATTTTATTATGGCATTATTATGGCGTGCGTCACGATAGAATCGCTGAGTTGTGCAAACCATTCGAAGTACACCATCATTTGAACTGAGTGACTTGTGTCACCATTTTGAGAGTGATCTCTACCACAGCCGACGACTTTTCTCAACCTCCGCTTAATACGCTGATTAGGAAAAATAGTCCCCATCAGGAACATGACAAAATCGCAGCAATCCTTGGAAGCGATTTTCTCTTGCTTTGCAGTTACTTGGGCGATCACGCTAATTCTCAGCTCGTCACAGCTTCCACGCCGCACTACTGCTACTACTTCACAACCAACGAGCGAGGAACGGGCTGGTTGGCCGATTTCGCTGAAAGTCAACGACTTTGGCCGTTCGTTGACATCTTATTGAAGAAACGGCGAGACTGCATAGTAACTGAAGTTAATGATCACAGCAACTTCCTGGCCACCTCTGTTCGATAGCGATGGTAGTAACAGTCAAATCGACTAGGTGTTTAGGGGATAATAATAAAAGAATCTTCTCTTCGCAACAACTGGGGACGGATTTCAAGGGCATATCGCACGACAGATTCATAAAGAACCATAAGTTCCGCTCGTACTCCATGACATGAAATATTAGGAAATCCAGCTGAAGCACTAGCATCGAATTCGTTAGGATGATTTTATTAAATTACCAGGTTTGCTCCGCCCGCTATCGCGCGCATCACATTGTAGGGAGGAACCACGGAATAGCAGCATGACGTACTCCATTAACCACCTCACTATTGAATGTGTTATACCTCCTTATACCCCTTCTCTCCGGCGCATGGCAGCACCATGTTCCCTCCCTTTCCCCTCCCCCTCTGGCTTCCCCCTTCATCCGCCTGTCGACTCCGGCGCGTCAGCACCATGTAGAAAGAGGCTGAATGTGCTCGTTCGGTGTTTTTGTAGCCGTAGCCTGTAGCTGTACGTCAACATGAACATAGACCTTACTCTTGAAAACGGTCATTCTCTCTCAGTCTCTCCTCCCCCACCTCCCTTCCTTATTATCTTTGCTCGTACGCAGACGCGTCTGTTCTCCTTCGCTTTGTCCTCTCCGTTCTCCTCTCTCCCCTCCTTCCAGCTTCCTTCTTGCCCTTCCCCTTGCCTTACCTCTTTCTTCCACCCCCCTCCACCCTCCCCCTATTGCTCATCCAGCTGCCACAGCAGCACTATGTAGGAATGAGACTTCATATGTGTGCTCGATCGGTGTTTATATAGCCGCTGTGGGTGTTTATCATGATCATGACATCAACATCTCGAAGTGTTGCCCTTCGTACTCCCTGGTTTTGTGAGCGGTTGGTCCGGACGGACAGAACGACACACACACACCGACAAACCGACACGCTAAAGTTCTGGTATATAATGAAGTGATTATTCTCTATCCCATTTCATTCCATCGTCCATTCCTCATTCGTATGAATCCATTGTTGTTTGTTGTTTATTGTTTGCTTTTTTATGTTTTTATTAATCTAATGCCGTATCTGGTGTTCTCAGCTCCATCTCCTAGTCTCCCGATAAGTAATTATCCTCTGCATTATCATCCAATCTCCTAATCTTCCAAATTAAGAAAAACGAATGCGGCTTTGCGAAGGTGATGACACGCTTCTGTTTCCATTAGATCATCCTCTGGCGCTCTCGATGTTGGAAGGGGGCATTTAGTCTGAAGTGTACCTACTCGCAGCATGTTGGGCACTGATTTCATTGGTGAATTTTTCGCAGTGTTTCTCGCTTCTCTGTGGGCCTTCTTCTAGTGGCACCTACCCATCGGTACCGTTGAATGTCCCCCTCCCTAAGGACATTAGCGCCCACCCCTTTTGAATACGTGCATCCATTTGATTCTGTTGTTGGAGTCCCAAGTGGATGTGAGCATAGGAGCACGAAGTGAGGTGCTCCACAGGAAAAGGAAAGTCGCAACATGTATCACGCACATGGATGGAAGGTGGTTCTGACTGCCAACGGGAGTAGAAAACAAAATGACTCGACGTATCATTCTAGTGAGGCCTTCTGATTGTGATAACACCTTTCTTTGCAAAAAATTATGAGACATCCGATTTAGTGCAGTTCCGCATACTACAGACAGGGTGGTAGGGTTTACATCTGGGATTATTTGAAAAGCTTTGATTCGGCCAATTATGCTCTTTTTATGAGCTCATCAAACTATCAAAAGGACTCGTTGCAGACGACCCCCTCCCCTCCCCTGCAACACGACCCCTCTGAAAATCCCAAACACCTTTCATCAGTCACAAATCACAAAACAGTGCAAAGTCTCTTGATAGAGGATACCACGAAGCTAGGAGAAAAGGAACAGACCTGGTGGAAAGATAGGCGGCCCCCAAGGGTGCGGCCGACACACCTTTGCAGCAAAGGATATGTCCCCGGTGGCTTCTTAGCGCGGGCCTTCCCTTGCAGCACTGCCAGCTCGCCCAGTACCCTTCTCGCTTATCTGACCCCCCCCTGTATACGGAGAGAGAGAGCGTTAGCTCGTTTGAAAGAGGCTGTCTCTCTCAGTTACGATGAGTTTCATGGGAGTATCAACGGGCAGGTCGTTTCTTTAGATTTTCTCCCTCTTTTTTTGCCAATTACCATTTCTACATTAATTTTCAAGAGCTGCCCTTTTATTGTGAAATCCGCCTCTATAAAGCCCAAGTTCAGACCTTGGCATCGAACTCACGTGAATTGTTCACTTTGCACCGTATCGCCTTCCTTCATCTTTTCTCTCTCCACTGGTGCCTTCTTCTTCTTCTGCTTTTTCTTTGCCATGATGAGTGTGTTAGTATGGAAGGAGTTTTCTCCTCGGCAGTGATGGTGGAAATGAACCTTCCTAGCGCAACTC